CGGTATGTGGAATGAAGTGGGCGGGCATCGGGAGGCCACTATGGCACGGGGCAAGCACTATGGGCAGTCTATCTGAAGTGTACCCGCGTATAAGACGACCCCCCACTTGGAGGCATATTTTTCAGGGCCAAAAAATCGTCTTATACGCCGGCAAATACGGTAAGTAAACAACGCAATTTGTTTATCTTTGGAGAAGTACTTGGGTACCTCTGCTTGAACGTTCTTATTAGAAGATATTTATCCCGTTAAAAAATATCTTTAAAATAAGTCAGACAGCCCTGACCGGTTTGGCTCAGTGGATAGAGCATCGGCCTGTGGACTGAAGGGTCCCAGGTTTGATTCCGGTCAGGGGCATGTACCTGGGTTGCGGGCACATCCCCAGTGGGGGGTGTGCAGGAGGCAGCTGATGGATGTTTCTCTCTCATCGATGTTTCTATCTCCCTCTCCCTTCCTCTCTGAGATCAATAAGTATATGTATATTTTAAAAGTCTGTCCTCACGGACACCTGCTGGAGTTGGTCATCCCGCCTTTCTCTTCCCCCCCACCCCAGGCCTGTACTGCAACCGGACCTGGGACGGCTGGCTGTGCTGGAGCTACGGGCTGGCGGGCACCGAGTCGGTGCAGCACTGCCCAGACTACTTCCAGGACTTCGACCCCTCAGGTAACGGAGCCGCTGGCACGCCCTCCCCCGGACACCCTGTCAGTAAACCTCAGGCTCACGAGATTGTTCTCCTTCTTCCCTTTTTCGTCTTAAAGAAAAGGTCACGAAGATCTGTGACCAGGATGGACACTGGTTTAGACACCCAGACAGCAACAGAACGTGGACCGACTACACCCGGTGCAACACCAACACGCACGAGCGCCTGCAGGTAGGTCGTCCTGGTGTGAGGGGAATTGGATCTGCACCCACAGCCACACAGCGTTACCGAAAGGCAGGTTGGAGAAAGGCGAGCCGGCACCCGGCCTCCGGGAAGCCTGTCCGCCATGCCCTGGAGAAGAGCAGTAGGAAGACGATCTGCAGGAATAACACCGTCGAACCTGCATGGCCCCGAGGACGCCGCTCTGCAGGGGACGGTGCGTGCAGGCCCGAGCTGCCAGCTGTCCAGAGAGCACACACGAGGGCACGGAGGGAAGCTTTGTGGTGGCGGGGGTTTCTAGAATGCCACGGAGAGATCGTGCTCAAGCGGACAAGGCCACCCTGCGGTGACAACAGGCCTCTGTCCCTCAGCTGAAGCCTCCTTCTGACCGGCCAGTAGGACCCTCCCACCCGCTCCTGCCGTTCACACCGTCCATGAGTCCAGGTCATCAGTGTCTGTCACGGAATCAGCTTCGGTGGTGCCTGGCCCGTCTGCAGGGGTGTGTATAGAGAAAGGGGCAGTTGTCCCAGTGATGGACACTGAGTCCTCCTATGACTTCCGTCCAGGCACCCGACCGGCTGGGTGACCTGCAGCGAGCCATGACCTCTCTCGGCCTCCGTGTAATCAGCAGGGATCACAATAAACCCACCCTCAGGGTTTCCTAAGGATGGACAGCCACAGGGAAACACTCGGGAAGGACAGGAGCGGTAGGACAGCCCTGACAGCTGCCCGCTGTCTTTATCACTATAAGTCATCTCCCCTTTGCTTGTGCAGAGAAGAGTTTGAAGAAATTTTAAAAATGCACAATAAAACGGTCAGTTACAAATAAGTGAATTACAGACAGACCACCAAAGAGAACATGTCAAGACCAGGAGACGTTAGAAGGGATTTGTGCAGATCCTACGTTACGTCTTGAGGTGCGTCTCCGCCTCAGTCTTCTCAGAGAACAGAAGCCCAGTGGGGAAGGAACGCCTCCTACGACATCCACGTAAAGAACAAGACAAAATCACCAAACAGCATTGGTTTCAGGTGCACAGAGAGAGAGAACACTGGCCCTGTCCTCCAAGACGGAAAATGCTGGTTTCACCTGGTACACAACCTCGACAATAACAATATCCCTGCGTCTACTTAATACAGGGCAGTGGTTCTCAACCTTCCTAATGCCGCGACCCTTTAATACAGTTCCTCATGTGGTGGTGACCCCCAACCATAAAATTATTTTCGTTGCTACTTCATAACTGTAATTTTGCTACTGTTATGAATCGTAATGTAAATATCTGATATGCAGGATGTATTTTCATTGTTACAAATTGAACATAACTAAAGCATAGTGATTAATCACAAAAACAATATGTAATTATATATGTGTTTTCCGATGGTCTTAGGCGACCCCTGTGAAAGGGTCGTTCGACCCCCAAAGGGGTCGCGACCCACAGGTTGAGAACCGCTGATATAGGACGTCTAATTCTTAAATACGAAGGACATACGAGTGATAAACGTCGATGTCACTGGCTAAATTGCGTAAATACCCCTCATTCCAGATGTGTTCAGCATTTGTTGGTTTGCAGGCTAAATGAGAAGGCCATAGATCACATGTTTGTGGACATATAGTGCATCCCTTTGAATTTGATCTTCTACACATGTGGGATTGTGGGATTGACATAAGCCTTACAATTCTTTTTTATTATAAATTACAGACGGCACTGAATTTGTTCTACCTGGCTATAATTGGACATGGATTGTCTATTGCATCGTTGCTCATCTCACTTGGCATATTCTTTTATTTCAAGTAAGTACATGTAACATAGTGTTAAATTTACCAGTTGTCTTTGGTGAATGTCGTGCCATGTAGCTGGCATGTTATGTGCCGATAAAATATATGAAATGTTTCATAATGTTTCAAATCAATTGGATGTTTGAAATAACTTGAAATATAATATGTCAACTTTACCTTAAATCCCAACTTTACAAAATTAGTGGAAATATGAGAATGAAGTCATATAAGAATGAAGTCGTATGTGACTGTTTCCAGCTGTTTGGAAAATGTCGCATACTATAGGCCGTCTTAGTTGAATTTTCAGCTTATTGGTCAATTTTAATATCAGGATACATGGTACATTATAGGAACTGATATTTTGTGTGAATGATAGCAATAGCATTTAATATGTAGTATTAAAAATAGTTATATCAATGCAGTATGGTTTATTTTTTATGTAGGGGATCATTATTAAAATTATTAAATTATGCATTGAATTTTACTTGAAATAACAGTTATTTGGGGGAGACGGAAACTCAGCTCCAGTTTCTTGAGACAACAAGTGATTTTTGTAATTAATAGGAAAGTAAATTCCCAAACACATATATATTATTTTATGCATTAACATGGTTTTCATAATTTTGATCACCACCAGTAACTATAGAATCTATGTGAAGAGTGAGGAGCTATATGTCACTGCATCTTCCTCACTAGTGTCATTATGATACAACCTGCAGACTCATATCTCATTTTAAAAGGGAGGCTAGAAATTCCATCTTTCCCCCAAATATTTCTCTCATGTTTCACATGTTAATAGGCCTATTTTTTCCAAGAGCAATTTCTAAAAAAATCAAGAGCGCTATCTGCCGTAAGTACCTGTATCTCTGTGCTAAATCCATGCTTTAAGAACAAAAAGATGGCTAGCATGCTACAGAGGCAAAGCTGAATCAAACCCAATGAGTGTCTTGCTGATATATGAAATTAAAATGAAAGTATTCAAGTGATTACATTGCTTATACTTAAAGCTCATACTGAATGGACAGCTAACTGTTCATTCATTATCGTGACCTAAAAAGCAAGCCCTGTAATGGCGAGTTAGCATAGCAGGAGTGGACTCAATTTCAGGTGCCACTCAGTTCCAATGGGGATGCCATGCAGTGATAGAAAATGTGGAATTCACTCTCATCTTGCCATCGCCATTTAACTGATGGCGTGGACTCAGCCTGATTCCGATTTTTAGAAGCTTCAGTCTCTTTACAAATGGTCACAATACTGTTTAAAACACGGAGCAAAGGCGACGCAGAGGGTAGCTGGCGTACAGGAGTCTGCCAATACCTGGTGGGCAAACTGGACCATTAGGTTATCATTAGACTCCAGCAATCAAGTGGGCGCACAGATCTCACTATGTCATCATCTCACATCGCCTCTATATGGTAGTCATACAAGGTTAAAGAAAGTTACTGTAGAGTTCCAGAGAGCGCTGGGAAAACAGGGTGGGGGAGCAGGGGCCGGGGAGGGGGACTCATGCTGATTCTCAGAATTAGAAGACCCCGGAGGCGAGGATCTCACGGAAGCCGGTGTGGAAGGTGGGGAGATGTCCCACAGGCAGACACTGTGGAGTGCAGACCGTGCGAGAGGCAGAGATTCTGGACTCTGCTGCCCGGTTTCACGAGGGTTCTCAGTGGTTAACTGAGCTCTGCAGGTTCCTTCCAATCCGCACCCTGCCCGTGTGGCCTCGTCATTTTATTGGACTTTCATTGTCCTTTAAAAATGGAGAATTTGAACAAAAAGAAGCAAGGCTACCAATGAGTGTTTCTTTCTTATTATCTCTCCTTGGGCTTTCGGTAAAACACGAGAAACCCTCCTCAAGTAGGACCCCAGCCGAGTGTTCAATACATCTTTATATGTGTGGGCATTCTTCATTACAGGAGGGAGGTGAAGGCACAGGCCAAACAGAACACCTCTCACCTGTCACCTGCTGCACAGCAGGCAACAATTCTGTTGTTTCCTAAGCCTCAATTTCACACCTTTCAAATGCAGACACTGTTCGTATCTGCATCCTAGACGTGGTGGGAAGACAGACACACATGCAGCGAGAAGCCAGTGTCCAGTTTGGAAAACATAGTCTAGGACTGGCATGGTTATCACCCCTTCTTGTTCGTTCCCTAAACGGTTTCTAGATAAATATTTAGCCCTGACAGGCATAGCGTACCACTAGACTCTTTGAAAAAGAGCACGTTGCTAGTTTCATAGGTGCCACATGGACAAAGAAGTTGTCATAATGTTCATATAGAAAAATCCTATATAATAAAAGCCCAGCGACCGTAATGACCGGAACGACTGTGCGACCGGTCTCTGTGAGGTGCATGGACCACCTCTCAGTCCCCCCCTTCCCCCCGGCCTGCAGGCTCCAATCGCAGCATGGCGAACGGGGCACCACAGGGAACCGCGTGGGTGGTGGCGGGGTGGGACTGGGGACTGGTGAGTGGGCGGAAGATGGCGCTGATCGCAGGCCAGGTCTAGGGATCCCACCCTCGCACGATTCCAAGCGCTGGGCCTCTAGTGGTTAAATAATGAACAAAAAATGTTACAAACCAATTTAGTAGTATATTTATATCAGAAAGCAAGCTAGTCAAGAATAATAAAAACTACTTTTGTGCCCACAAGATTCCATACAGCTCATTCAGCACTTGAATCGTATTGAAGAATCACAGTCTTTGATGTTAAGACACTTCTAATGGCTACTCCCAGAGCCATCTACTCAAACAGCACAAGCCACTCTCCACTACCAACAGCCGCCCACTAGTGGGAGGCTATGCAAAGAAAGTCCCAGTGTTAGCGTGGTAGGAGCGGGGGGGCCTCTGCTTGGCTTCTGTGTGCACCCCGTGGCTAGCACAGGACTTTGCACATAGTCGGCAGTACGTTTTAATGAGTTTTTAATAAGTCTTTCCATAAATCTTAATCAATTTTTGAGAAATGAAGACATGAGTGGGCTTGGAAGCTTATTTGTACGACTGACTTTCCCATGACCTCTCGTGACCTTGGCCAAGTCCCTTGCGTCTGTCCGGTCGGTCCGTCTCCACCAGCACCAGGACTCCCTAAAACCCTCATCTGTGCGGCACAGCGTGAGAGGCTGCGGCTGGATTAAAGGGAGGCCGCGGCCACCTAGGCAAGGCCAGCTTGGGTGGCTCACGAAGCATGTTCATATGTCAAGAGCAATAAAAAATTTAGTTTTCTTCCAACTAATTCCTAGAGGAGCTGGTGGTTCACATAAAATCGCTGTGTGTGAAACAGAAAACCCGTCACCAGCTCCTCTCTGCAACCACCCCAGCTCTCCGTCCTGTGCCGTCCTGGCCTCGCCTTCGGTCCAGGTGACACTTTTTCCCCGTTTGTTAATGGAGGGTCATTGATCCATCCTCATCACAACCAGAGCCACACACAGAGTTGGTTGGGGATGAGGCTTATGTTTCCTTTAGAGGAAGGAACGCACACTCCTCATCCACGCTTTAAATTAGAAACAGACATGAAACACTCGTTCCCAGATATCCTTCAGTTTGATATTACAGCCCATTAAAGGAAGAGGCAGCGGGGAGATGAAACGAAAGGGAGGGGACCAGAGAGAGACCTTCGGGGCTTGCCAAGTCCTGAGAGACAATGACTCCAGCGCATAACGATCCTTGGAAAAACAAAACAGAACCCTTTGGACGAAAAAAGAAAACAAATAAACTTTACCGGAATTAGCTATAAATTATTCTTTAATCGCTGTTTAAAATCCGAGAGCGTAGCCCATCTTGCTCTCTCTTTCAACGGGCTCCGTCTCCTCGCACCGGCGAGGGCGTGGGCAACATCTGACCTGTGTGAGGAGAGCGGCAGCCTTCTGTCACTCAGCATCTTCATTTTGCTGGCATTTCAGGCTCGGATACCAAACAATTCGAAAGCCACGTTGCATATTTACAGCGATATCGACAATGATATCGGTTCTGGCTGGTCGAGAAAAGCTCCTAAATGAAACTCAGCGTGCACACACACACACACACACACACACGCACGCACGTGCGCGCGCACACACACACACGCTGCATCCAATTAGGAGGCCCACGTTTTCTTAACGTAATAAAATAACCCTTCGATGCTTATCCATTTTTTTTTTCAGGACAAGTGACCCAAATTCTCCCCTTTTTTCTTAGATCTTATCTGAATATAGTCCATCAATATTGTGAACTTTGTTCTCATTTCCAGTGTCTTCATTTAGCTCTGGAATTAGAACAATTACAGTTTTCTTCTTTACGGTATCATTTTTCTCCTGAAACTGTTCATGATTCAATCTCTAAATCCACTTTAAGGAAAGCTGACTATTGAAAGAAACTCTGCATTGAAACCTAGAAAACAATCTTACTCTATAGATTACGCCATGATGGCCCTGTTTTGGCAAATCAGAACTTTCACAAGTTTGGTGTTTTTTTTAAATCTGGCAAATTGGCCGCGTCAGAGGTTTGAGAGGCCGGGTTCAGAAGTAGCTCCGTGGCCCCTGAGTGACACTCTCAGGCCTGTGCGGACCAGCCCTGCGCCCTCAGCTCCCCTGGTCCCTTTCATTCCTGTGAAGTGTGGTGTGCGCCGGGCTGCTGAGAGAGTTCCCGTTCTGTTGCATGGTTTCCTCCAGCTTAACACTGGGTATTACTTAACTAACCATATTTTTCCATGTATTATTTTATCAGATTACACTTATTAGGTCTTTTTCCAAATTTATGAATGTTAATCAATGTGGTGAAAATCCATCTCCTTCTAACGGGGCCGGTGAGGACTGGAATATTCCTACTCGTAGCACAAGTCTCGGTTGGAAAGCTCTGTAAATGCATCCGCGGTAATCACATAAGGAAAGCACTGCCTTTCCACATTAGAGCACCAGATTCAAGCGAGGGCAGAGCAGTGCAAGAAGTCATGGTCACTCTGGCCGCTGGCTGGGCATCGTCCCAGGCGCCCAAAGGCTGCTGGTTCGATTCCAGGTCCGGGCACAGGCCCAGGTTGCGGGCTAGATCCCCGGTTGAGGTTGTGAGGGAGGCACCTGATGGATGCTCCCTCTCATGTCTGTCTTTCTCTTTCTCTT